TACTAAACTAATTGTTAATGCTGAATACCAAGAGTGGCTTTGGATCCACAGTGGAAAAGCCATAACCTGGGAAGGAGAAACAGCCAACAAAGGCTCAAGAGAAAACCTCAACATAAAATCTTGCAACAACTTTGGCTGGAAAGGAGAACAAGATCATCTGGTCCAACCCAACCTCCTTCTCAAAAGAGGGCTCCAAAATGCAATTTGTACAATACTGCTTGCTAATGATTTGGGAAATAGATGTACTGGTCAAGAAGTTCAGGGAATGCTGTGAAACTACATGATGGAATGATGCTGCAACACAAGTAACCAGAAGACCAAACCCAAGTTGAGGTCAAGATTTATTAACAGCTAGTGATGGGAACAGTCAAAAGATCCAAAGCCATTTATAATGAGTAAATAAACCAGTGTGGATTACTTGAGGAACTCGAGAAGAGCTGGCATTAAACAGGATGAAGAAGGTGACAAACTCCTGATAGACCATCATGAGATCTGGTTGGATCAAGACAAAACCAGATTTCCAAACAGACCTAAAACTAAATGAGGAGTTGGGCAAAAAATGCTGAATTCCTCTATAGGGCTTGACATCTTCATCTCTCAAAAATAAACCAGTGCTGTGAAAAAGCTAACAAAAAAAAGTGTGTTGACTTAACAGTACTCATCCTGAGCTGTGCATCCCTGGTGTTAAAAAAGGCAGAAGTGTACCATGAAGAGCCTGTAACAGTTTTCCTTTTCTCTTACCGAGTGTGCCATGCATTGAAATGCAACTCAAAATTCACATTTTCTAAGGGACCAGGGCACCAGCAATGCTGAAGCTGCTGGATGGGCACAAAAGATTAGCACTGGGCCAGGTGGAAAAGGCAGATTTTCCAAATTCAAGCAGTAATTTCCAAGGAGTGGACCTACATCCAAGGCAACCCTGGTTCAAAGGCTCCCATCAGACTGTGAGCACGTGGGAATTCAGTGCCTTGCTCCCCTCCTGCAGCCTGAGGGACCAGCAGGATTCTCCTGCCACTGCCAGCTAAAAGCCTTTCATATTAGGGCAACCTTCTGTCAGAATCCTTTTGGGACAATGACAGATAATCACACTAAATTATGAATAAAAGAGGCAATGGGCTCTTTTTGGAAAAACACCAAAACTGAGGGGAAAAGGCTCAGCAAAGTATTTCTAATAGATCTGAAAAACTGTCTGCAGCTTATCATGGACACATCTTGGCATGAAGAATGAATAATTCCAAGAGCATTTGATATCTTGACATAATTTACATATATATATAAATGTGATGCAAATGTATATAATGTGAATTTATAGAAACACAAATTTTTACCAGAAGGGCACAGAGCCAAACTGAAAGGGAACAATGGACAAGATGTAAAACACAGTTGCTCTTCCTGTGCCTCTTGCAGGGGTTTTCCTGATTCATGATGAAAGAATAAAGCAACACACATATTTTATTCATGAAAATATATTGCTGATAAATCTTTCCATGGCAGTTCCACTACTCCTGAAATCACGTGGAGTTTTAAGTAATATTTCTTCTCACTGCAACCTGGTTTGCTTAAAAAAATGACATTACATTTACTCAACACTTCTTTAAGCAATGAAACCCAGGCAAAAATCTGTTTATTGGTATAAAACAACATTCATTATTTCCTTGCAAATGGCCCCACAATTCACAAGCCCACACCACTATGGAAATATATATATAGGATAAGATATTTATTGCAACCCATCCGAAGTTTCTTCACTGTTGATTCCTTATCTGCTTCCCGGAGTCCTGCTGAACGTTTACATAAGATGATTGCTTTTAATCTTTCTGTGTTTGCTTCAGACATGCCCTGACAACCACTTAGAAAAGTGGTATTTTCCTGACAAAATGAATCATTTGTCTTCTACCACCAAGTTGCAGATCTTTGTTACAGAAATAGAAAGGCTAGAACATGCCCTAGGAAGTCTCTTTCTCTGCTTTGAAATTATAGGGAGCAGATATATTCACTTTGAAAATCCTGTGATAAAAAAAAATTAAATTAAAAAAAAAGTGGCACAATTTCCTGAAGCATGAGCTCATAATGGGAACAACATACTGTGACAAGTGGATTGCAAGAGGAAAAATACAGCGTGGAATTGCACAACTCCTTTCTAAGTCAAAGTACTGACACCACGTTCTGCTGAGAAAACCTTTTGTGCCTCTGATTTAATGATAAATTTCATGTGATTTCTCCTGGTTGGAGGAATGGAATAGAAACAACACCAAAACACTGTCCTGACGTGTTAGCATTAAACATCTCCTTCAAGAAATAAACTTTGTGCCTTTGATTGTTACATAAAATTCTATTTTTGGCTGGAACAAGAGGGAGAAAAAGAACAAGAAAATAACCACAATTATTTTCAAACCAAGAATCCATTAGAGGGCTAAAAACATGAAGGAGAAATCCTTTTTAAGGAAGAAAATACTTCCATTTCCAGCCCTATATTCCAGTTTTCACCACCTCTGCTTGGCAAACTGTGGTCAGTGCTAAACTCCTACTCACCCAATGCATCTACAACAGTCTCACCCCTCTCAAACTCGTGTCCTTCACAGTTAAACACTTCTGGTTTTTTACAGATCTGACCTTCCCAAGGCTATCACTTCCTAACTCTGTTTTCTGACATGCCTCTCCTTCCCAGAAATGAGCCCTCCTCCTCCAGCATCCAGCCAGGTTCAGACCCTGCTCCTTCCCCTGCCCATCCTGTTCCTTGATCTGAGCAAACTCCATCACTCTTATGCTCACAGCTCACGCTCTGAGTTTCTCCATGATAAAACCAACATTAAGTTTTGCAAAGGTGCAGAACATGCATTGGTTAAGACCAAAGCAGAACCAGCACTTTGCTCTCCATCCTCCCTGGAGACCTCAGACATCTACAATTTTGGCAGGCAATGCCATCAGGCCACTGCTTCACAGCACAGCATCAACAGAAATTTGTCCTCACTGAGCCTTTCTGGACAGATCTAAATTGTGCTGCTTCTACTCTGCAAGTTACAAAACTGAGGAACAGCATCTTCTTATGACCATGAAGTCATCTACTGCACTTTTCCCCAATGGCCTTTATGATAATCACATTCCCCCACCAGGCTCTTGCCAAATACTTGGTATTTTCTTCCCTTATTTTTTTCATCATCTCTCTCTTTGAGCCCCTGCATTTAATTTGCTTTGGCTACTCAGACACAACTGAAGGGTTTTTCTTTTCCCCATTTGTGTGTAAAAGATGTAATTAGTTGCTCACCTACATTTTGTTTACTAAGGATACAGATCACCATTTTCCAGCTCACTGTATTTGCCTTCAAGCTTTCTGCCTTTTATAGACAGCATTATTCCTACATATGTCATCTTTTTTCCCCCTTCACCAAAAAATCGCCCACTGATGTCTCTTTGTTAGACTACAACAAATCATAATTATTAGTCAACAATATAAATGTCCACCACAGGACAAAAGCAAATCTGGGGCTTTTCCTTCACTGAAAAGCCCTTTGGTTTAGAGTTTCTTCCTACTTCTAGCCTATTTCATCTGCCAGTTGAAATACAGAGTGACCTCTCCATATGGCACTTTCAACATATAAGAAAAGATACAGATGCACAAATGTTTTGTCTAAAGCACAGAGAAATTGGAAAGCATCCTCCAGTTCCAATTTATTGTCTTTGCACTGATACCATAATTTAGAAAAATTAAAATGTTCCAAAGTTTGTGTTTGATAATAACTAACATTTCTAAAGCAGTTTTTCAGATGCTGTTTTTGAAAAAAATGGACTATATACGTCTTTAGTATTAAGTAAAAGGGTCTTTTGTGAAGAAAAATACCAGTTACTGATGTCTATCCGACAATCAAATGTGCCCCTGTGTGGGCTGTACACACTCATTCTCAGAACAGACCTGCTGATGACTGAGCTACTGCTTTCAGAGAAATTAATTTTTTTTTCCTTCAAAATCCTTCAGAAAGTTGGGTTGATTTTTTTAGCAATAATCCCAAAACATTTCAAATCATGTGAATAAAGATCTCAAGTTATTTAACCAAAATAACACAGACATAACCTCAGAGAGAAGAGTCTTTTTATTTTCATGAAAAGGACAAAGGTTCAATACCACAAGGTTCAGATCCCCCATATATGTCCTACAACCAGAAACACAGACTTGGTCTAAAATAAAAACCCAGCCCCTCAGATGCTTCTGCTTCATCATCTGCATTCAAGAGCTGAAACCACGAGATTCTGCAACATGTTGGTACCCACAAGCACTTTTACAGATCTAAAAGCATAAATTTACTATTTTTCTGGTGGCAAAAAAATAAGATTATCATCCCAAGGTGTTGCACTCCCCCTCTCCATCAGGGACAGCCCGTCCCATGCATTGCCCTCCTTCTGCAAGCAGTGTCCAACCTCACAAACCCATCCAGCAAGGGATGCAGGGCAGTGATCTCCCAACAGCTGGCCCGGAAAGGCCACAGCTGGATGAAGAGAATCTTTATGAGCAACCAGGACACGCTGCTCCCACCAATAAACTTCCAAAGTGGCTGAGTTCAATGTGTCACAGGGATGTAAAAAGCTCCTGTTCAAGCATTTCCTCCTCAACAGGAGAAAAAGCTTTTCTTGCAGGCTCAGGTGACAGCACAAGCAGGTGATGTTGGCCACATGTAATCCAAGCACAGAGACTTTTGGGAATATTAATCCAAGGGGTTCCACCTCTCCCAGAGCAGATGGGGCACCAGAGTTCAGAAAGACCCATCAGGGCTTTATGAGCATCCAAAAACATGGCACCAGCCCCTGACCAGGGCACAGCAACTTGGCTCCATCAGGAAAAGAAAAGCAAATAAAATTAAACTTTGCAGAAAGCAGATTTGAACAATGCAATGGGTTTGTCCTTCCATCTTCCACGACAGCAATGCCACTACATCTGTTTGAAGAAGTTTCTCTGCACCAGCACCTTCAAACTGTGACTTGCTGCATGTGCTGTCTCTTATCTCCAGCTGTTAAAATCAAGTTAAATCTCCCAGCAGAAATGCACAGAATGCTGTCCTTGGACCATGTGCAGCACATCCCACACAGGCCTCCCTGATGCTACGTGATCACCAACCAGAGGAAACAAAGCACTGCAAGGTAACAGAAACTGGAGGTGCATGTGGGAAACAAGATATGTTCCTTAGTAATAAACTCAGTATCTGACAGAAAAAAAATTATGTCCCATTATGCCCCCTGGTCAGGGTACTTAGCTCTTTGTTTCCCCACAATGCTTTTCAAAGCATTGATCCATCCTTTCCCCAGCTGCTCTCACAGATGCATCCTGTCCCATACTAAATTCAGTGTACTTAAGATGTGCTGCCCTTCATCCACTAGAGCATCCAGTGGAGCATCCATCTGCTCCATTCCCACTCTGATCCAGCTCCCACCTGGCTGGCACAGCCCAAATCTTACGGCAGAGGATGGGCATGGCACCCTGGGGCTCAGCTGGGAGCTTTCCGCTGAGAGCCTGCCAACATTTCCTTGAATCCATTCTTCCCACTATGCTCTCCTGCACCCACAGCAACTGTGAAATCACTACTAATTATGCCCTTTTGCCTGACCCACTTATCTCAGAATTGCAGTATCTGGGATGGGCTAAAAACAGAAAAAAAGGAGGGAAACTGCTCATTTTGCTTCCTGGACAACTCCTTTTAGAAAAGCCAACTCTGTTCTGATTTTCTCCACTATTTTTTCCTCTGTCTTTCCTTTCTTCTCCAACTTCTCTTCTGTATCTTCCTTTTGTTTCTCTCTGCAAGAAGAGGAATTGGGTTAGGAAAAAGGAACGATGGAGAACGCTGATCTAAATTGCTTCACATCTTCAAATATGTGGAGAGAAAATGATGGGGCGTGGGAAGGGAATGAAGCCCTGTGGGTTTTCTTTTCCAGATGACTTTCTTTCCTTCTGGCTCATGACTGAACGAGATATGAGAGAATAAGAACTGCTGGAGATTTTGGCAAATATTGAAAAGGAGAACATGCAACTACAATTATTCAGAGAATAAGAAGCAAATGCTAAAGAAAAAATAAACCCCACACATACAAACTATGGGCTCTTTCCAGAGGGAGGTTTTATTCAGTCTGAATTAAATGTGTGTATTTTTCCCATTAATTCAAGCGTGGATTTCATATAAAATTCACAAATACCTATGTCAAATGCAGCGAGGAACACCAGCTTAGAGGCATCAGAAAGCATTCTTTTATTATAAGAGAGAAGACACGCAGTTCTGTTTCCTGAAGGATGGCAATGAACCAGAAAGAGATGAAAGCACAACCTTAATATTGCAACTAACAATGTTAAAATGTTCTTGCCTTCACATTAGGAGGCACCACCATGTATTTTTTGCTTACATTTATTTCTGCACGGAAAATAGCTTAAAACTGGCCCTGGTACTGTGCACTGCTGCCTGGAGCAGGGCTAATTTCTGGTTCAGAAGAAAGGACCCCCATGGTAAAAACAGAGTGGATGAGCATGCCTGGGTTGTTCCCACAGAAGGTGAGCTGTTCTCCAGGTCCTGGAGCACAGAGATCCCTGTTTCCCCCCGGAATGGTTCCCATGCCCATCCTCATCACCAACCAACACAGCCACCAGAACTGCAAACCCACCAACAGGGAACACAGAAAGTGAGGAGTTATTTAAACATGAACTGCTCCTGGGACGTCCTTTCATGGGTTTGTGTCCTTACTTGTGACCTTTGGGAAGGAAAGAAGGAAGGAAGGAAGGACGCCTTCAAAACATCAGTCACTGTTTGTCTGCAGAGGTGACACCATCCATGCAATAAATATACCACACACACCTGATGATTTGCCTTCACCAAATGCATCAGGGAAAACAATTTGTTTGGTTTTAACTCCTTTAAAATGGAAGTATCTTTCACCAGGAGAAGAGTTTTCCATAGGAACGGGGTTTGCACTTTGTGACGTTTTCAGAAAGACCTAAGAAATAATATAAAATAACAACTATTTCTGCCTCCTGCCAGGCTTGTTGGAGTATTTTAAAACAGCTTTGCTAAAATAAACCAAGTTTTTTTTCCCCGAACAGATTTGCCACCAGGGAACCAAATCCTACCCTTATAAGGCTACAGCAAAACAAAAGTCCCAAAAAAAGTACAAAATCTAGTCCATTTTTTAACTCAGGAAACAGGAATATTAAGACAGAACAGGTTTAAAATCAGTTTCTTCAGAATTAGGAATAGTCAGATGCTTCAGAAAATATTGTTCCCAAAGATCACCTTCTGGTCCTTCACTCCTCTCCACCTAGTGAGATCTTGAACTGTTAGAGCTACAAAGCTAAAGCAGAGATTTTAAATCCACAACCAGGATTCAGACTTTACCCACTGCAATATTTTACACACACAGACATGGTTACTTTTACCATTAAAAAACTCAAACTGTTATGACAAAGAAGAAATTATTTAAACAACTTTGCCTACAAGGACTGACCTGCTTCAGTATTAAAACCCCAATACACACAAAAAGAAAGGAAAACCTCTTCGTGTTAAACACTGGAGAAAGATCTTAAAAATAATGGACTCTAAAATAGTTTACAAGAATCTAAAATAATGCCTGTGGTAAGCTAACACAGAAATCAAACTATTAAAAAAAAAAAAAAAGAAAGAAAAATCAATGTTAAAGATTAATGTTTTGGTTCTCTCCAAGGCAGGACAAATTGCAGGAGGGAAAAAAAAAGTTGAAAAGCCAAGGGTTGTTGTTTTTTTTTTTTTTTCCTTTTAACAAATTTCTGCTCTGTACCTCATTCTATTTAAGAAATTGTATGAGAAGCAAATTGCTCCAAAGCTGAGCTGAACCTCACCCAAGGTTAAGTGAACACCAAACACAGACCACTTCCTTTGGGTTCTTGGTAAAAAAACAAAGTATGACCAAAATATGCAGCAACAAAGGATGCTGCTACAGCAGCTCGTCCGAGCAGTTCATGGCTGATGTCTGCAGTGTTCCAAGCCTGGGTAAGGAAACTTTAAAGGATCTTGAGAGAAAAAAGTTATTTTCAACCTCTTTTGTTCATTATCTGACACTACGAGTTGAGTTGTATAAAAGATTTTACTGTAGCACATACAAAAGCAGCGGCACACCAGTGAGCACTTCATTAATTAAAAGCCAGAAAAGGAAGTTTGCTAAACGAAGCAAATGTTCTTATCACTCCTATCTATATTCATTAAAACTGACAGGAAACCAAATATCACCATCTGTCTACTTGCAATAAAGACACTAAAAACAGCTCCGGGGTAGAAGAATAATATAAAGTATAAAACTGCAGTTTTTCAAGTTTCAGTTTTAAATGGACAAGAGAGAAACTGATGTCAGACGAGGGAGAATGAAGAATGACAAGGAGCTGGTACATGAGACTGAAAAAAAGAAATTACATGCTTTAGAACATAAATTGAAGCTTCTTTCAAATCTGAGAAAACAAACAACAAACTAAAGTTTGCACTGTCTTTTTTCATTCAGGTCAATGGGTCTGGAAAAAGCCAAGCATTGCAATGGCAGCTCATTTGCCTACTTACAAATAACTGCTACCAAAAACAGTCAGAAAATTGTATTATGCAACATAAACTGTGAATTTTTAATGGTCAAACAAATCCCAGGAAACACTTGTGCTTCATTATGCCTTGATGCACTCTCTTCAGATTTACAAGACATCATTCTTTTAATTATTCCTATATTTGGATTTTGCTTACAAATCAGAAACTTGATATAAAATTGAGTAAGATTTGATAAAAGGAAAAAGATGGCAGAGGTACTAACTTAGCTATGGAAAAAAATACCAGGCTGGGCTCACACCAGCAGTGGTGGAGGTCAACTGAAGGTCACTGATTTAAGGTATTTTCCAGCATTTGTACAATTCCTACCTTCTAGTAATCACCTTTTTTTTTTTTTTTTCCACTGCAGGGGAGAGGAAAGAAAAAAACAAATAGATGGTAATAAGATATTTAATGACAGAAATGAAAATAAACTACTGCTCACACTCTCAAGAGCACAACTCCCTGTCGTTAATTCTGCACTATTCCCCAGCTGCATTTTGCATAGCAATGAAAAGCACTTCCAGTTCCTCTCAATGCTGCATAAAATATTAGCTCCACAGTCACAGTTTTTAAGACTAAATAAGGTTCAAGTAATTTAAGGCTGAGATAAACAGAAAAAAAAAAGAAAATTCATTGTTAAAAGTCTCGCAGCCCCCCGTGGTGCTGAGGTGCCGGAGCACAAATGGTGCAGAGCAGATCCCTGGGACCTACAGGAAGCACAAATGGGGTCAGGAGAGGAGGAGCAAGGGAGTTCAAGACTAAATTGAAGCCTTATTGATTTTTATTATTATGTTCTTCCAGGATGGTACTTTGTTTTGTTTATTTTCTGTTCTAAGAACACTAATTCATACCTTGAAAAAGGCTCTCATTAATATTCTATGAGAATGCCTTTTTAGCCTCAATACAATTACAGCAGAGCAATTATTATTCTTCTGTTAATACTTTAACAATACTAACAGAACTATTAACAGCTCAGCATAATGAGGCATTTGTGAAACAGAATTGTAGGGCTACTTCTGTTTACTAAAAACCACAACAGAATTATACAAGTTAAATAAAATCGGAGTGTAAAAAAGTCACTGTAAACTGATGTGCAAATATGCCATCAGATTCCTCCCTGATTTGGAGGAATCTCCTTTTGAAAGTCAAGTCAGTCCTGTAAGGATATAGGAAAACCAAACATTTTAAAGTGAAGGCTGAAATTCAAGAGTAAATTCTCTTTTATGTTCAGTATATAACAGAGACATCTATTTGTGCATGCCAATGAAATCACAGGGATGCTTAGAAAGGATTTGGTAGGCACACCTGGAGGTATGTAACAGAAGAGAAAATACAAAACTATCCATAAAAAATTCCTGAGTGTGCTGTAAAAATGCATCCAGGCTGATGCTGGAGAATGTTTGTTTATTCTAAGGTGGTTATACAGCATCTAAAACACACAAGAAATTGCTGCAATGGGAGGGAAAAGTCAGTGTTGACATGCTACCTTTACAAACCTTTTAATAAAAAGCTGCATAGTAAGGGCAACAAGCATAACACAGATTATTAGATTTTGGAAAATTTTATTTTATATATGCCTTGTTAGACCTCCTGTTTTCCTACTGAGAGTAGTAACTGTGGAAGTTGCATTTAAAATTATCTGCTAACAGAAAGCAAACGAATACTCAGGTTCTCCAGGAGCATGGATAATCAGTGGAAAAGGTGAAATTCTCTGGCAAAAAGAAAAAGCACAATTCACTCCTACAGTTCTCCTGGCCACAGCTGCAACAGTGACAGGGTCAAATCAAAGCATCTTCCACAGCAGATATTGGGGAAAACCAGCCCCAGACTCCAGGCTACTTGGATTTGAGAATGCCAGGCTGGGAAAAGCTTTTCCAGTTCTTGGGAACTGAGAAAAGATCCATTGCCTGCAATCCTCTTAAAAAGGTAAATGAAGCTGAATCCTGAAAGAGTCTTAGTCCCTCCCATTCCCATACTAGTGAAGCTGTTCCTGCACCATTTTCCTTTAATTATGGGAAACTTTGTTCTAATATCGTACACACACAATACTAGCACTATTCTTAATTTATTTCATTATTAAGTATTTTAATTATTTATTTAATAATGAGAACATCAACTTATTAAAGACCAGTATGGGGTTTTTTTTAATCTTGTACCCACCTTGTCTATGAGCTGATGAATCTCCTTTGCCTGGTCTCTACCCACAGATGAAGCTGTCCCTTCTGTAAGGTACCACCAAGCTGGCTGTATCAACTCCCCTTCTTGCTCACAGGATTATGTAAACTGTGTTTAAATTCAGGATGGGTTTTGCCCTTTTGTACTCAAATGCATCCTCTCCTCTTCATCCTGACACATACAATAAAGCCTGGATTTGTCAGGTTTGATCCTAGCTTGCAGCATGACTTATTTTGGTGAGCAGTGTGCTTTAACACCTCCTCACCCACTGCAACACCTCCTGGATATTATTCTTGAATTTGCTTTAGATAGTCAATAACAGTTTTCCACACACCTTTGTAAAAGCTTCCCTTAAAAATCTGCTTTTAAGTGACTGTTCCAGTGAATATCCCAGTCACAACGCCCTCATGTATTTTATTTAAAGTACAGCACCATCACCTCTGCACAACAGTGATGTAAGTAAGGCTTGTCACGCTTTTGCTAGAGAGCATTAAAAAAACCTGACCCAAAACCAAGTCCATCCTAAGTGTACCTTTTAATCCACACAAGGCCAAAATAATTTATTACTATTTACATTGCTTTAATAGCATTCTTGAGTTGCTATTTAGATGGTCTTAGTAGTAATGACTGCAGCAAGCTGGAACAGGTTCACAGCACTAAAAATAAAACCCGGGTGTCTTGAAGCCTGGGAAAAATACAGCAATGCTCCAAGGGTGTCAGTACAAACCTGCAAAACAAATTTTCTACACAGACAACATTTCTTATTCATCAATTTGAATGGACAGATATTTACAGTCAGAGAATAATTCCGTTTCTACAGGTTTCTTGGACACTCCCATCATCACGCTCCTCTTTCCCATGTGTTTCTTCTCCCACACGTAATTTGTCTGTCCTTTACCATGTTTCTTGAACCAGGCTCAGGCCAATTATTTCTCCATGTCCTGGTTTTGCCTTTGTCTCCTCCATGCCCAAATGATGTGATGTAGGGGATGGCTGAGCCCAGCAGGGCAAGGTCTCTGTGAGCTCCAGTGCAGGAGGGTCTCACATCCTGGGTAACAAGCCAACCTTTTTCTGCCATTTCTTTACACTATGCAGTAACTATAGTCCCTTTTCCCCTTTTCCCAGCCCATCCCATTATTTCTCTCTCTTTTACATACAATCCATTACTTTTCAGGTTTTTTTTCCTTTTTTTATCATCCTATCACTACCAGAGTCTTTAACAGAAAGCTGAGGCTGTTAAGTGTCTCACGCCTGTCACTTCAGCATAATGATTAGGGAGCAGATTCTGAAAATCCTGATGCCACCATAAAACTGGTAAACTAAAAAATCTCACCTTAGATTCCATCACTTTATCACTGTTCTTGTATGCTTCCCTAGATACCTGCTGATCACCATCAGAGACAGGATATTGAATTGTAAGTGTTTGCTCTGAATCAGAACAGCTGTTCTTACAGATTTATTGCTAAAACAACATGGGTTCTGCCAGACCGAAGAAAATCAGCAAGAAATAAAGGTACAGACTCCTGTATTTTGCCACAAGTAACTTTAGTATTTGGAAATTCCCTTTCCTTGTCCATGTTCGTTAGACTGCTATGCAAAGATAATTAATTCTGGTAAAAATTAACACATATGTACAGTACCCAGATGATTTCTTTGATTGTGATAGGAAACATTTAGATATGAAATTCAGCACAAAATACTTTTCAGCTTCTGAGAAATATGAGTGAAACTACTCTGAACATGATTATGTTAAGAGCATCATACTTATTAACATAAGAAAGAAAAACGATTTGTTGGAAAACACTCACCATTTGAGGTATTCCATACTGTTTTCCAATAGTATTTTCCCACAGACACCAAGAATGGTTTGGTTTTGTGGTTTGGGTGGGGTGGGGGAGAAGGTTGTTGATGTTTTGGGAAAACCTACCAAAGCTTGCTTTGTTTGCTTGCTGATCCTCAGCTACAGCAGCAAGTGGCTGCTGGCAGAGCTAACTTCAAAAACCAGCTGCAGGAGAAACTATCATTATTTCATCCATTCAATCTAGAATTAAAAACCTTTTTTTAAAAAAATGTATAAAACAAACAAACAAACTTTTAAAAATATTCCAAACAAACAGCAGAAGGTTTCCTCAATGGCAAAGTCCCAAGGCCAGTTAGCCAAACCCTTCCAACCACATACCCACCCTCGGGTTTCAGATCCAAGTTAAACTCCACTCCCCACCAGCCTTATCTTGCCAAATTCAGAGCAGAAGGAAAACATCCAGAGGACTCCAGCACAGGCAGAGCACGGACACACACAGCAGCACTCCCAGGGGCCTGCTCTGCACTTGCATTTTATTGAGGAATGCACACACTTCTGTGCTCAGTCAGAAATATTCAGGGGCTCCAGCACATGAACAGTAACTCAAAAACCCCATTTCCTTGTCTGTATCATAAAATAAACACAGTCTCCGAGATGGACTCTATGGATTTATGTCCTTTCTAAAGAATTTAGTAATTGGAGGGCGAAAAAATAAAACTCCAAGTAAAGTGAACAGTTCAAAATGTGCAGTAAATAGTTTTGAAAGCAATGCTCTCATCTGGGAGTATTGCAACAGATGTTTATCATGAGCTACTGCAACAGTTAATCCAACTCCCAGCCAGATTACCTCTCTGCCTTTGGAAACCAGCCTTTTTTCCATGGGCAACTTACAGAAAACAAGGGGATGTGCCAGAACTGACAGCAAGCAGTTAACTGAATGAAACAGGAGGGGGGAAAAAAAAGCCATAAAGCCCAACCAAATAAACTGATATCTGGCCCAAAAGACTTAGATGAACAGGTGTATGTGTGGGTGGGATTGGAAGGAAAAAAATAAAGAAAAACATTTAAACAAAGCCTCCATTGACATTCTGGTCACTTAAGTGGATACACACAAAACAAGCCAAACAATGTTTTTGAACAATTCAGCAAATAATGGATGTCTTTCCTTTTTTTTTTTTTTTTTTTTTCCCCCAGAGGGTAGGAAATATGATTATTGAACTTGGATTTCAAAATTCTTGTGGTGCCAATAAGCTACAGTAACAACTCAAGGTTATTCTATTCCAAGATAGTCTAAGGAAGAATGAAAAAAGGAAGGTATGAAACTACACGTGCAATCTGGTATTTACTCCTTGAAGATACAAATGCAAATCATGATTTAAAGCATCATTATTTAAAGATGAAATTACCATTTTGTAACAAATGCAAATCAGATCCCTGTTTGCAACATTTCCTAAAGGCAAGTGAAGGGCTAGTGAGTCCATGCCTAGAGCATGGATTTACTTCTGCTCCTGACTTCACAGGCATTTAATTTTGAAAAAACTTGAGCATACACAGGTCCTGTGAAGGGAGTGAGCAGTTCATCCATCCCCTTTGACCATCCAGAAGAGATCAAGCAAGAGAGGTTAATGCACCATGTTCCCAGTGCACTCACCTGAGCATCACCTATGGCTCCCCACCCCCTGGGACCACACTCACCCTGGCTGCCCCAGGATCCCTGGAAAACTGCTGGGAGCCAAAGGTGGTTTTTGAGGATTTACAGCCTTCAACAGCCTACAGGGCTACCTGCAACTTTCACATGAAGCCCACACCTTGCCCCCAGTATTCCCAGCTGTGGTAACACAAGAATAAGAGTCACAAATTCTGGAAACTTCTGGTCTAAACTTCCTTCCTTGCTGAAGAAAATCCCAGCTTCTTGGTTGTTTGGGGTTTTTTAAACAGAGAGAAAAACAAACGCCAATCTGTCAAGTGTAAAAAAGATGTAAAGAGATTTTGTTCCTCTAATTGCTCAGCAGAACAATAACTGAATAAAAAGCTCTAGGAAGTCCTTTCCACTCTGCAGTATTTCTGCTGGTAATGCAAAACAATTTTTCTCGGCACTTCTCTAAATCAACAAAAACAACAGCAAACATTACCAGTCCTTTCATATCTGATGAAGAGATTGATGTTATTTATTCAAGAAAGTCTTTATAAGTATTCCTTCCCTTTTAAAAGGACCAATGACCACAGAGCCACGTGCCTGCAGTACCTCCACTCAGCCCTTGGCCCTTCCAGGCCATTGGAACAGCCACCCATTGGTCTGTTGACTAAAAACAACCATTTGCAGCTTGTCTTTTAAAGTTGTTTTTTTTTTTCCCATGTATCAAAAGTCGTAAGTGTCAAGAGAAAGTTTTTGTTTTCTAAATTTTTAGTATTCCAGAGAAATATATTGACATTGCATTCCGCAAGTCTTGCCAAAAACGTCTTTTGTGTTCACAGCTTCAATGTTGATGATAAATTTTAAACACTAACAGTACAAAGTATGATTTAAATCAGAGCCTAAATCATAAATGTAAAAGTAATTTAAGCTAGTGAACTGGAAACCTTAATTTAAATAATCTCATTTTGCCAATAGAGTTCTCCTAAAGACCTACTTGCTTTCAGTGGTTGTTAGTTCTCATTGAGAAGGTAAATAAACTACATGCATCTATTTAAATTATTATGAGGCCTAATATATTCTACATATTTTATGTTTATATTTTATTAAGTAGACAATTTACTACGCAATTATTTTTTTAACTACAATTCCTAAGTGCTTCAAAAATATTTAGTGAGTCCTAAAGTACCTTTCATAATGATGATTATCCCCATTTCATAGAAGGATAACCCAAAGAAGAGACAATTAACTAGTCTGGGCTCTTTCCTTCAGCACATAAAACTAGCTCTAAGGTAACAGGATTGATCTTCACTGTAACAGCAACCTGTTACACATTATTTTTCACTCTGACTGAGCAACTGTAATAATTTGCAATTATCAATTAAGAGATCAATTAGAAGCAAAGACTCAGGTAGCAGAAGCAGGTTAAACTAAGTATCTGTACAAGAATCAGGATGTTTTGCTGGATGGTTTCACCAAGATATGACACTTGGAACTATTTTTACTTCATCTCCTAAAACGTGGATGCAAAGGTAGCACACAGCACAGTCTGCTGCTGTCTTCAGAGCACCACAGCTTGCTTGATGAGCGACCTCAATTATTTTGCCCTGAATGAAAGCAAAAATAGCAGCAAGCACTGATATCTCTTACATAGCCCAAGAGAACGAACACACCAGACTCTCCAAGTTGTACAACCTCTAGTTTGAGGATGTACGTAATGTGGTGCTTCAAAATTTGCAAGATGTTGTGCCAACAGGACTTAGTGTCAATGTTTCAGAACAATTTCTTGTACTGAATGTTGCCCATCCTGCTGTGCCAGGCTGAGACCCTACCTTTGCACAGTTTCTTTCATGAGAGACAGCAGCAGCCTGGATGGTTACTAGTCAATATAGGCCATGTATGAAAAGTGGGAGAAGTGCTACAGAATTATTTTTAACATTTTTCCACAGTCTTTCCTCATTCTGCCCATTTTTCGTTGCGCCCTAAGTCGACCCATGATGGGAAATCCATCTTTCCAAAAGCACATCCTGATGTCTCCTACCAAGCCAGCCCTTACCAAGCAGGAGAATCAGCATTCCTGAAGCTACTTTACCCTCCTGTGAACTTGCCTTTCCTAGGATGCACACACAAATTTTAGCAGTTAGACATTAATGACTATTTCTGAGCTTCACCAGCAGTGGCGAGAGGCACCCTCCACCCCATGGTGCAGGAAAAGCAAACAGTAAAAGACACAGTGGTCTATGAAGAGACACA